ATGGAGAAGAGGTTTGCTGGACCAAGAGCTGTGACCCTCCAGGGTTTGATGTCTGGAACCCTCGATATCACAATGAACAGCTGGGCACACTCGGTACGTACCTAATAATGTTAATTTTAATTCTGCGTAATTGAAAATAATCCAAGCAATAACATTTGATTAATTATAATTATTGTCTATATGGTTGAAATTTAAGGCCGGGATTTCCGGAGAGAAACTGCAAATATACTCAGAAGATGGCGTCGATAAAGTGCGGTGGTCTCCGCTCACTAATGATGCACACGGACCCATGACTTGGTACAAGGTACGGAGGATATTGAGAAGTTCTATTTTGAGCCCTTTTAGTTGCACTAAAGTTCTATATTGAATTGATGAAATTTTCACTGAAACGGTTGAATTAAGTTAATCTGCTTAGTTGTGAAAATATATTGTCCTACAATTACCATTATTGACTTCACAATTAATTACTCAAACATTATACATAGTTACTTTACAATGCAAAAATAATTTGAATATCACATTTTAGTACCGTAGTACTCGTATATACTCCCTACTTAGTATTATCAAAATGCTAATTTGTTTTTTCTCAAAGTAATGCTAATTTGTTTTAAGTTTTATATAAAAAAAGGTTGTCAAATGTACACTTTGCAGACAGTACAAGGAATAGAGTACGTCATACTACCACAGTACCACTAAAACAATGAACAATTAGAATATGTAAAATTTCTACTGCATCATGAAAATTCAAATGATTAGTAAAGTTGTTGGAGCTAAGTAAACATAATTGAGAACTGGAAAATTCAATAAAAAGAACTTAAACATAAATAGTTTTTCTTAAATATGACTATCATTGTATGTGTCTAAAAATTAACTCCTTGACTGTTTTCGCTCATGGTTTGCTCCGATTTGCATAATGATTTTTATATACCAATGTGTACCCTCATAAACCCATACATTTTAGTACACTTTAGTGTACAACTATGTTGCACGGAAACGTAAAAATCCCCGGAAATGGGAAACAGGAAACAGGAAACATTATCTTTTAGTAGAAAAACAACTATTTGGAGAGTTTCCGTAGAGTTTCCGAAACGGAAATGTACTTTTTCCCGAAAGTTTCCGTGCTTCATAGGTGTACAGAAAAAAGTGGAGATAGATACAAAATTTAGCTAGTTACATTCCAAGCCTATGCATATGCAGACATACTTTGATGCTCCGGAAGGGAAAAAACCTGTAGCTCTCAGATTGAGCAAAATGTCAAAGGGTATGATTTGGATCAACGGCAGAAGCATTGGTCGCTATTGGGTTTCTTTCCTATCCCCTCTCAAACAGCCAACTCAATCGGAGTAAGTAGCCATATGTAAAGCTATTACTTCATAAATATACTTTATTTAGGTAGATGATTGAATCCCTTATTGGAGTCAAATTTAAGAAGTACAAAACACAATGACAATAATTTCTTTTAATTGATAGATGCTCATTCATTACTAAAAAAGAATTAGTCATATGTATAATACAAAGTACAAACAAAGGAGACTCATATTTATTCACATGCAACATGTTTTAACCGAGTAATTTCTTAAGATCATTGACAATATTAATAACAGATATTCTATTAATGTTACTAAAACATGAACACTTCTTGAACCATGAAAAACAATACTACAGTTTCTCAATTACATAAAATGTGGAATTAGTTACTGTTTTGTTTAGCATACATATAACATGGGCACCGATGCCCAGGAGCCAAAGACTTACTATTTTTTGGCTTGGGAATATGAGGGAATAAAGCAAAATGGCTCACTAAACTGTCTGTGCTTCTTTTTTATGAAGCAGCAGTTAGTTCATGCAATTTTCGACGCGATTTTCACCATGGGTCATCCGGAAACAGTCTCTCTGTGCTTTAGTACAGGGGTAAGACTGCGTACATAGGTGGGAGCCCTTGCGGCACTGGGGTAATGATGATGATGATGATGATGATGATGATGATGATGATGATGATGATGATGATTAACAATGACAAAGTTTCTTAAATAGAATCAAAACATACTACAGATTCTCAAATACAATTATTACATAGTTTTTTTTTGAACTCCTTATTACATAGCTTTTTAAAAAACAATAATGTAAATCTTATGATGTAAATCAAACGTGCATAGTTATATATTTATGAACTTAGATAATCTCATCAGAATTAACGACTTAATTTATGACAAAAATAAAAAGGATAGATAAAAATAAGACTTGACAATATTAGTAATTTTCAGTCACCATTATTATAATGTACCTTCTATATGTTATATTTGCAGGTATCATGTACCAAGAGCATTTTTGAAGCCAAAGAACAACCTGATGGTGGTGCTGGAGGAGACCGGAGGAGATCCGGAGAGCATAGAGGTGGTGACGGTGAACAGAGATACCATCTGCAGCTACGTGTCCGATCATTTCCCCCCGCACGTCAAGTCGTGGGAACGGAAAGGCGACGAGTTCCGGCAGATCAGCGAAGACGATTTGAAACCTGCTGCCCGGCTCACCTGCCCGGATGACAAGATCATCAAGAAGATCGATTTCGCCAGCTACGGTGACACGCTCGGCGCGTGTGGGAACTTTGCTGTCGGGAACTGCACCGCTCCCAACAGTGTGAAAGTGGTGGAGAAGGCGTGTTTGGGGAAGAACCACTGCCGAGTTCCGGTGGAGAAGAGTTTGTTCGAGGATTCTTCTTCTTCATCGTGTTCTGCCCTTGGTTTCAGGACTCTGGCCATCCAAGCAAGATGCAGCCGCCAGGGTAAGGATAATGAGTAATTACTTGGGCACACTAAATCTAAGCACCGCCAGATCAGATGCTTCTGCTCCTCTTGCTGCTGCTTTTCTTTTTGTTTAGACATTACTGACTTATAAGCAACTTTTTCCATATTTGGTGTACCTAGCTAGTTTTTTTGGTGCGTGGGAAAGAGATTTCCTGTACGTAGATGGTTGAAATAAACATGTACCAGTCAAAGATACAGTAGTTAGAGAGACACACGATAATTGATTTGGTTGATGTATAAGAAAAAACAGTTCAGTTCAATAAGTCCTTTTGCTTCTCATAGTTCAACAAATGAATGAGCAACTACAACCATTTCAAAATTAAGTAGAAATTCCTCAAGATAGGATTAAGTTTATTTTACTTCTCATATAGTAGGACTTGTAAGAATCATATCTTGAGAATAAAAAACGATCATCCTCTTTATGAAATTTGTCCTCGTTTTAGTTATATTTAGGAAACTCTACAAAATTAAGCATTACTACTAGACTACTAGTAGGTAAAATTAAGAGAGTTTTGCAATTTTAGTCTCAGCTTTCAGTTATGTAGTTGTCATCATTTACAGGTTTGGTCCTATAATTAATAAATATATCCACCTTAAGGACTTCTCAGTTCTCCACAGTAATGTTCTAAATGTGTGTCCTACAATTTATATTGGTGAATCAAACCAAAGGATGTAAACATCTAAGTACCTATGTTTCACATGCGAACTAATTATTCTATACCCTACTAAACACACTTTTGGATAATTATCTTGCACCTTTCTGAAATGATGTCTTCTTAGTTCTTAAATTTCACTTCTCTAGCATTCACCATTCATTCATAGTTCAACAGTCAATAAAATTAGTGAAATACTCCATATCTATATATTCTATACTGCAATCTATATCGGGGCTTTAATATCTTTAAGTACACATTACTATAAGTTCAAAAGAATCAAAACAAAACAAACACCACAAAATAGTGAAATGATCTTATTTGTCTTTGCAACTAACAACATGATGATAGTTAAATGCTCGTCTTTGATCAGGTTTAAAAGTTGATCAAAGCCAGAAAGCAGAAAATGACATTCTTACAGCATAATTTTACCATCCATTTCAACTATACTAGAAATTAATCAACAAACAGATTGAACAAATAAATCACATTATGGAGCAAAGAGGAACTGAAGCATTTGCATCTTCATACTCAACGACCTGCTGCATCGGATATGACGGCACATATTGGGCCGGCGGCAAATAATTTCCCCCGTAATTGTTGGCTTCTTGACTATAATCATATCCCTGCAATCCCCTTGTGTCCGTTTGGTATTTCGAAGATGCTAGGCAAATACAATTTAGAAGCAAATGAATTTTGAATTAAAGATTGTTTCAATCAATTACTATTATTGTATATACGGAGTACTTATTAGGTATATGGAAATTGATCAAAACATACTTCAAATGCAAAAAAAAGGACGGAGTATGCTTTATTCTCTAAATACGACTTATTCAGTCCTATTAAAAGAACAAGTTAATTTAAAATTCTCAAAGTAGAAGTAAATGAGTCATATTTTGAGAATAAAACAATGATGGTTCTATTTATGAACTTTTTCATTGTTTATCCTATTCAGGGAATTTTCTCATAGCTAACTTATTGCTCACAAGTTTAGCTGATGGTATACGATAGTATATGATTTGATAAAAAAAATGCTAAGGAGCTAGTTTATAAATATATGATTTGATGTAAACAGGTTATGTTTGAAACAAGATTATAGTATAACTCGAACTGTATGAAAATTGAAAAACATTAGATTATGAAAAGGTAATCTATGAATAAATCTTACTAGTATTTATTTAGTTTGGGCTTTCTAAACAGGTTGGTTCAGTAAAACAAAACTAACTTCAAAAGATTTATTGAAAAAACTCATTATCAAGTTTATGATGTGATAATCATCGTGTTAATTAATTATACAAAACAGTTGTAAGAAGTTATGACTTTAAATTATGTGTGCATTGTGAAAAGTGGAGATTTGTTATTTTAGTCATGTATTTTTTGTGTGTTCAAGAGTCCGTGTATAAGTTATAACTTTAAATATGTGTCCATTGTGAAAAGTGGAGATTTGTTATTTTATATTTTTAGTCACGTATTTTTTGTGTGTCAAGTGTCCGTTATTTGTCATATAACATAGCCCATTCGTATGGTTCTGTAACTTATAAATGAAAGAATGACTCCGGTATTACCATTGAACTTTCCAATTTCAAAAATATGACCATTTTAAAACTTTGCAAAAAAGTGACTAAATCTAATTAGATCTAAGCTCCTGATTGAGATCTATGCTGCCTCCTCATCAGATCTACGGTTCTGGGAATGGTCGATCGCAGCGGGTCTCTACTCCATAGCTCCTCCATCATCGACTTCACAGGCGGGGACCGACGCCTTTGGCGGCCGCCATCCTCTTCTCTGCTTCGTGCCGGTCGACGTCGCCCTTCCCATCTGCGTGATTTCTGTTCCTTCTCTTTTCTTTGTGGTTAATGGGGAGGTGGATGCCAACATCTTCATCCATTGAGGCTGGTTCGTCGCAGGTACGGGAGCTCGTTAGAGTGCAGAGTTGCATACGCCATCGGAGCTCAAGGAGTGTCGCCGCCGCGAGAGTCGTCGGTCTGCGTTGCATCTCTCTTCTCCAGTTCTCCCCCTAAAACTCAATCGCACAGATCTAATCCCAGATCTATTGGATTGTAGGCGGAACGTTTGTTGCAGGTCGTGGCTAGGTTTGCTACATCGGGACTGGGGCTGAGAGGCCGGTCACGTGCTGGAAGGACTCCGGTGACTTGAACAATCGTTACTGCGGGTGGTCGGAGTTGAAGCTTGGGAAGTGATTGAGGGCAGGTCAGGGGCAAGGGATGGGGAGTTTTCCGGTGCTGGATGTTTAGATGGTGGGCAAGGGATGGGGATGTGGGGTTTTCGGGTTCTGGGCGTTTGGGTGGAGAGGTAAGGGATGGGGGTTTTCCGGTGATGAACATTTGGGTGGATAGGACAGTGGAAGTGGAGTGTATAGGGAGGCACAATGATTGGTGGTGGTGATTCGTGGTGGCCAGAATGAAGTGGCCGGAATAATTGTGTGTCACTGTGGAATAATTGTCACTGAAAAGATGTCACTGTGGTGGTGTAACTGTGGCCGCGGAGGTGGCCGGAGGCGGAGAGAAGTCAATGTGGTGAAAGGCCAGGCGAAGATGTCACTGTGGTGATTGGCCGCAGTGACACGGGCGGTGGCCGTAGTGACATGGGCGGTGGCCGCAGTGACACGGGTGGTGGCCGCAGTGACACGGGCGGTGGCCGCAGTGACACGGGCGGTGGCCGCAGTGACACGGGCGGTGGCCGCAGTGACACGGGCGGTGGCCGCAGTGACACGGGCGGTGGCCGCAGTGACACGGGCGGTGGCCGCAGTGACACGGGCGGTGGCCGCAGTGACACGGGCGGTGGCCGCAGTGACACGGGCGGTGGCCGCAGTGACACGGGCGGTGGCCGCAGTGACACAGGCGGTGGCGGCAGTGACATTTGATAGTGACATTAAAATAGGATAGTGACATTAAAATCTGGGAATGACATTGATATGACCTTCTTGATCACTTTTCTGCCCCTTTTTAAAAGTGATCACTTTTTTAGTAATTGGTTCAAAGTTAGTAATATTCAGGACATAATCCCAAGTATAAATTCACCAAAATTAAAGTGCCTTACAAATAATAGAACAGAAAAGTCAACGTCGGCGTTGAACTTTTCACCGGAAATAGTACTGTGGATGATCAATTCATTAGTTACATGACTAAATATGCAAATCAAATGGGTAAATTACAAAACTAATAAAGACGTTAAAACTTACGGAACTAAATCTAATGTTTTTGCTTGGACTGTTTTCAGTCCCAGACCAGACCAGACTTCCATAGTTATAAAATACACAGAGACCAGACCAGACCAGCAAATTTCAGTCCAAGTAAAAACATCCTAAGTATGTAATTAACATTGTAAACATACCTCTAATGTTGGAGTCCCCAATTGCAGTGTAACCATAATTGTTGTAGTTGCCATTGTCATATGACTTATTATAAGGAGAAGAATAAGCATATGATGGTTCATTGTTGGAATATCTGTTCATTCTGGGATCCTTTAAGGTTACCCGGACCAACTCTGCATGTTCTCCTGATTTTGATAGTGCTCTTAACAAAGCGTTTGGTTCCACTTCACCCACCACCGTTGCAAGCCCTTGTTCCGCATCAATGTTCACAGAATATACCCCTTCACATCATCACGTCACCAAACACAACACAATAAAAAAGTCTTACTTTGATGTTGGAACATTGTGTAATTCCATCAGTTTTTTTTACTATTCAAAAGAGTAAGAGCCCGTTTGATGACCTTCAATTAAATGACGAAAGTTGGTGACTTTTTTTTGCTGAAAAGTTGACTTAATTATATGTTTACTCTAACTATATTTGTAATAAACTTAAAACAAATGAAATTGCATACTCGATTAGGATGCTCTAGAGTAGAATATACTAATATAGGTGTTTCACTTGAATACCATATATTACAATGTTTTACCCTCTAAATGCCTAAATGGGGTTACTTGCTCCCTGTACGGAGTACCTAAATTGCATCTACCTTTTTAAGATTTGAGGTTCATCTAAAGAAGGTTAACTTGTTTTATATTTTTAGAGGCAACTCATGTGGGATAGCTTTAATACATTCTTCCGTACATGAGTAATTATAATCTTGTATGGAGTAATTTGTATGCTCATTTTTAGGCTTATCATGATACAATTGTTCATTGGAGCTTAATTTAGAGCCTGTTTGGTAGCACGAAAATCGGCTGATTTGGCTGATTCTGCTGAAATTTATGAAGTTCTGGCTAAAATGGCTGCATTGGCTGATTCTGCTGATTTAAGGAAAAAATATTTTTAAAATATATTATATTAATAAAATAAAGAAAAATTATATGTAAAAATAGCTAAAATAGTCATCTACAGTAACTTCGGCCAATATAGCCAGAAAAGTAACTTCAACCTTACTTTTTATGTTTATTACATAATTCAGCACGCGAAAGCAAAAGTTACGTGTTTGGTGAAAAATTTGGCTAATAAGTCTGATAAGCCGAAAAACAGTGTTGTCAAACTGCCTCAGGCCTCTTATTCTGGTACATGTTAATATTTTAAGTTTCTAGAAGTTAACGTAACATAAGTAGTTCAAGACTTTATATACATAGTATTAGTTTAGCACACGTAATAGGCTAATACACCTATGACATACACAAAATACCGGTTGCGGGTTGCCCGCTGATTCCCGGTCACCCCCCCCCCCCCCCCCCCCACAAGGCCATAAGTCACAAGTTTTGAAAACTTTTGTACTATCTCCCGTCTCTTTTTATGTGTCGTACTTTGGTTTGACACAATTATTAATAAAGTGGTTGAAAACGTAAAAATTGTGGTTGGTGTTTGAGTATAATAAAGTAAAATTTTGTAGACCACATATTTCTTTCCAAATTAGAAAATGTGACACTTATTTTGGGACAATCCAAAAAGGAAAGTAAGATAGGTAAAATGAGACAAAGGGAGTGTTTCTTTTCATATTCTTTTTCAATGTTTTTATACTTTATGTTCTTCAATTCCATCATTTTCTACCACGCTAGTTCTCTTAATCTCCATGAAATAATTATATTGCTATTTAATCAAGAAAAGGGTGGAGTTTAAATACCAGAAATTGAAGCGAGCACTTCCATGAACTTCATTTTACATTCACGACATTGCACGTCTACTTTCAAGACACAACCCTAATACAGTTCTCCAAATTAAAGAGATTAAATGAAAAAATCAAGAAATATAGAATATGAATGATGAAAGACACAAGTGAAATATGAGGGTGTTTGGAACTAATGTGCTTCTTTTTTAAAGTAGAAGCAGAATCAGAATCAGTTTTCACAAATTAGTTCCCCAGCTTCTACAAAACTGTTTCGAGGAGTAAATTAGAGTATCATAAGTATTTTTGCGCCTTCACCCCAATACTCTAACTTCTGCTCTTTGAAGCGGCAGAAACAGTTTTAAAATCAGATCCAACCACCCCTATATCTGTAGAGGTTACATACCGCTTCCGCTTTAGGCTCCATTTCAGCACTTTGGACAATTTGAGTCGTCACATGCAAATGAAAGGTGGATAAAAAGTCGGTACGAGTGGGGTTTTGAGGATATAATATTTAGATCACTTTACTCGACCCGTATAACATTAGTCTCCATATTTAGATCTATATATTTCATTTATTTACTGATTTGTTTCTTTAAATAGCGGTATTGTACAGCTACAAAGCCACCGCTTTCCCTTTAATGGATTGTTTCTTATTTGACCAAAACATCTAATGACAACTCTAGTCAATTTATTTGTAAATTTGATTGAAACTGAATTCAGAATTGCCTATTTGAATCTTTTCATATCATTAGAAAATTAGAAAGCTAATTTGAAGTCATTCGACTATTTCACATACAATAATTTAGGATTTTAACGGACTAAATCTTGAAATCAGTTCTTTATTTGAAAGTTTTTGTTTTTAAAAAAATATTGATTCCGTAATAGTATAAACTAACTACGTTATTATGGTGTGTAAAACACAACTTTGTCGAAACTTTATGTTGGGAACATATTCTATATTCCCACGCATTGACTCATTTTATGACTCATTACTACGAGTGATAATATATTGTTCGTCCAAACGTTTATGGTATATTAATGGTTAACACACTTTCTAGCAACTCACTACATTGTACCCATTTATCTGTCTGGCTTATCAGTATTTGCCTCTCCCGTTAGAATTCAAATTGAACTTATTATTGAGCTAGTGATGAGAGTTGTGTGTGGAGTGTATTATTTGAGTGTCCCTTTGAGTCCTAATTAAACCAAAAATCCCATGCTATAAGGACAACCCGTGCACCCTTGTTGTAACGTGGGGTGTACAAGAGATAGCTCAGCTAATCTCTTTCTTCCTGACCCCTTTGTGTGAGTAAGGAGTAGAGCATGATGAGGTGAGTGAATATCAGTGTGATCCAAATTATACATCCTTCTTGGTGAGGAGAGAGTGACAGTTGTCGAGGCTAGAAAGGTGTGTTGCTCCCTTATTCTAGGTGTGCACAAGAGACAACCGAAAATTCGACGACCGGACTGCCTGAGCCGGAATTTGGTGACGGAATCGATCCTCAACAGCGAGTAATTAAAAACTTGTGAGTTATGTACTCCGTAGTATCTAACCCGTGAACTTGTTTAATAAAATACTACAAGTACATTTATATCTTTTTAGAAATATTGTAAGCTATATATAGTATGTTATTAATATAAACTGATCGATAGAGAAGGCAATTATGGCCTACTGATTAACACCCGCACCACATCTCACTGATCAAAATGGGAATTCCCGTATTGAACGGGTAATATAATGAGTAAGAGAGAATTGCTCCAAATAAGATCAAATCAAAGGAACTTTACAAAAATAGGATTGAGTAATGTTTTTTCCATGCGTGGGATTTAATTAGCTCTATTTTAGGAAACTTTATTTTTGTTTTCCTTTATTACCCTCACTTTGATATTCCAGATTAAAAAATAAAAAATAACTTCCCAAACTCCTCTATCTCTCCCGTCTCGTCGCATTCCGGTTTTAGCATTGATATCGGCGTCTCTCGGCGGTGACTCTGCGGCTGGGATCTAATGGCTCACTCATCCCTCTGGTTTCAAGAGCTTTCAAACCCTTTGCCTTATACCTCTAGTGTAGTGCCGACCCGACCACGGAATCGGAATACTTCATCGGCATCATGACTTCTATAATAAGATGTCGTGACCATGTGTGCCGCCTCATTCCGGATCGGAGTTTCTCGAAGACCTCTTGATTTAATTTCATCACTGAGAATAGTTAATTGCATATATATTGGTTTGTGTTACCTGTTCTGCTATGATGCTATTAATCGGAACTTATTGGCTACTTAATGCCTATGTAATGTATATTATTTTGCAAGTTTGATTTTGGTTGTTATGCTCTCTTAATGTCAAACAAGGTCTCCAATCATCAAGACACAATAGATGGAGTTGCTGATATCATCAAACATGGATATACAAATGCATATAGAGAAGTGTATGTTCCAAATGACATTTCTTCTTCTATTGTTTTCATACTCTACATTCACTTTGTACTTGTAATGTTTTGATCTTGTGTGTGTTGTATGTGTTTGATTAAGCCTCCTACTCTGTTTAAGTTTGAGGTGTTGGGCAAAATATCTAAAAACTAAGTATTGTTGTTCATCTCAAAGATAAAGTATGTTTATGGCATTGGAACTGTGGGTCAACGTCTAGGACTGTCGTGATATGGTTACATGGGATTGCAGCGGTCGGTCACCATCGAGACTTACCATGCTATGACTGAATTTAACAATTATTTCACTCATGTGTGAGTTATGACACATAGTGAAGAGATGCACGCTATTGATTCTCAATTAGATTGGACATTCCATCTCAGATCAATTGTATGTAAACCATCAATTTGCTTTGACACGCCCACCTAGTAGACTCAAAATGAAGAGCAGATCCTCAACTGGTCAATTTTCATCTTATTGGCGTTTTTCTTGGTCGGTGCAAGAAAGGTGACCAGTCTGATTACAACAAGAAATTTTATTGGAACCCTATATCAGTTTCTAAATCTTAACGTAGATGTTTCGGATTTTACATTTTCTGTTTTGTATGAAGCTTTATACTTCACAAGTGTTTATTCCCACATGTATTTTTTTGTCATGAATATTTAATGGACAAGGTTCAAAGAAGAATTCATTCATAGAGGTTGTTATCAATAATTTTACTGTCATTGAATTTATTGATCTTTACATATGTTATTTTGTATTTGTTGTTGTTTACATTTAATTTCCAAATGTCAACTATTTTTCTAAATATTTAGTATCTCCATATTGTCTATTTACTGACTCGTGTTATAATTAATGACTGACTTAGATATAATATTTCTTAGATATTGACACTTTTCGTTCATTGTTTCTTTCTTTTCCTATTTCTGGAAATCGATCAATTCAGTCTCTGGTATTGTCTTTGCTAGGCTTCTTCCTATTTTCAATTTTCTTCTACTCCAATTTTGTCTTTCTCTTTGCCGTTTGTTCGTTAGTTTTCTTCGCAGTCAAATTGATTTGTCACCGTCCTTTTAGGCTGCGATTTCGAGGCTGAAGAATGTTTTCAGTCGGCGATGTTTCCATTGAGCCCAACGGCTTCCTCAGCTCTTTGCCAAATTTTACTGTGCATAGCGGGTGGGGTTTTAAAATTGTTCAAGACTTCAAGTTGCATGTTGTCTCATTTGTGATTGAGGGTATAATAGTCAAAGTAGTTCCACTTTTATCTTATATGCCATGTAGTAGTCTTAATTTTGGAAATTTTATATCATTTGGTCTTATATACATAAATTTCCCGTAAAGTAATGAATAGGGAATAATCATTTATTTTTGCGAACCTGTTTAGTGCCCATGTACTTCGGCTTATCAGATTTATCAGACTTATCAGCTGTTTTTTCTTCAAAAACGTAACTTTTGATTTCGCGCGCTGAATTGTGCAATAATAACAAAATTAAGGTTGAAGTTACTTTTCTGGCTATATTGGCTGAAGTTAATGTAAATGACCATTTAACTATTTTTTCATATAATTTTTTATTTATTTTACTCATAAATTTCAGCAAAATCAGCTAATTCAGCCGATTTCAGTGTTACCAAACGGGCTCTGCAAGTAATAAATAATTAAGATTTTATTATACATATACCCACCTGTTACCTGCTTTATTTATTATTTTGGTTTTATGTCATCATATCATTTGGCTAATCTCACACCTTAAAATGAGATTTTTGTCATTTTCATTGTGTGTGTATGTGAATGAATTTCCTCATTAATATATATATATATATATATATATATATATATATATATATATATATAGGGTTGGGTTCTAATGAGAACACCCTTTAACGTGAGAACGTGAGAACAAATCTTAACCATAGATCTTAGTAAATTAATGGACAAAAAAGGAGTAGATCTACGGATGTACCATGGAAGTGCAAACACTTTAAAAAACACCATGCTCTCTCTTCTAATTAAACGTAGGTTAGATGGACTTGATAGTCATTTTAAAAAAATCATACGGTTGAGGGGGTTGTCATTTCCCTAAAAACTAGGTAATAATAAATCTCATATCATATAAATTTCTTTAGTTTATAAATTGATTTAACTTCTTAAATAATAATCCAATTTTAACAAAAATTATACCAAATTAAATAATTTTTTATGCTCTTTCATATGACATCAATATGTCATATATAATTTTTAAAAATAAAATATGTATATGATGCATACCATAGAAAACAACAAACATTTCTATCTACCGGATGCACAAGAACATGTATCTAACACACAATCACTGATATCTAATGCATATGAGATGACCTCGTACTCAAAAAGAAAGTAAAGCTTGTTGTATGTAATACGAAGTATATACAAACTGATATCTAATGCACAAATAAAGTTATGCAAATTCTGGAGATTGTGCAGTTCAATAACATAGAAGTGGGAGCATGTTTGTATTGAATAACATACTCCGTATTTGAGTTTACAAAGCATAGGTGTGCACTACTGCAGTGGATTTGTGCAGTAATATGCAAATGAACTAAGTTTATAAGCGTATAAAGTTATGTGCACTAGTATGATGTTTTAGTGCATGGGGCAGAATTATTTGTAATAAAGTTATGTGCACTAGTATGATGTTTTAGTGCATGGGGCGAAATCATTTGTGATAAAAGTTATGTGCACCTAGTATGATGTTTTAGTGCATGAGACGAAATTATTTGTGATAACTAATAAAATACCTATAACAGTTATAATCTAAAACTAAAATAGTGGTTATGTGCATTTGAAGGAATAATTGAATGAAAATGAATGATATTTTGTTTCTATAGTTGCACAACTCAATTTACGTGAGAAATGAAATAAGATGGAAGGAGAATTTGAAAAAAAGAAATGAGATTTTGTTTCTATAATTGTTGACGTGAGAAATAAAGTAAAATAATATGGAAGTTATTCAATCCATTACTGCTTTAGACAAACGAATTAACTACAAAGTCAGTTACCAAAACGGCCAAGTTTAATATGGACTAAAATAGCCTTTACTCCTATTTAATTGATCGAAGATGGGTTTAGATTTTGGATGGCTGAGATGTGTTCTCACGTTCTCACGTTAAGACTCGTTCTCATTTGAACCAAAATCTATATATATATATATATATATATATATGAAATAAAGGATCTCCTTTAGTGATTCACCTAGTTGGGTCAGATAATAAATCTTAAGAGTCGCATTTGCCTATTATCATATTTTCTTTTGTTTAATTAATATTTTCAATTCAAATATTTTAAAAGTCTAAATTAATTCAGATGTTCTTTATTCCTTTGTACACGAAGTTTTTACGTGACGCCTCACATCCATTAGCGCTTGTATGATGTCATTTTACTCTTTTTAAAACATTGAATACTCTAAAAATAAACACATTTAAGTAATGAATATCCACAACTATATATACTCGTTATTTGTTAGAGTAGTTATGAATTGCATAGATATTACTATTGAGTGACGGTGGAAATTACTCAATGGACGGATCGAATTGTGTTCATAACTATCTCTCACCTGTCACATTGTCATCTCTACTATTCAACAATGACATGCCTATCAAAAAACAGAGGTAGTATACTACACTACCAAAAAAACACGGGATTAGCAGGGATTTCGGCAGGAATTTTGGTAGGGATTATGCAAAATCCGTGCCAAAAACACTTTGGATGGAGCTATTTGGCACGAAACGTCGGAAATCCGTGCCAAATTCCGTGCCAATACCATGTTTTTTTTGTAGTGCTAGTATGCACTATCTTGATGTTTAGTTAAAATCACCAAATCAACCTTGCACTCTTCAAAACCTGTTTTGACACTATTGAATGTTTATCAAAATATATGTTTTTATGTTAATTAGTCGCGAATATGAACTATATCGGTTTCTCAATATTTCTTCTTTTCTATCTATAGAATTACGTCATCAATACTAATTGAACCAAATGAATAACAAATAAGACTTTATTCATGATTAAGAAGTACCTAGAACTATTATAACACAATATTCAATCACTCATTATTGAAGTGATTATTGCTTTTAAAATTGGATATTGTAAACAATTTCTCGTTGAATTTGAGAGATATGAAACTTAATCATGTACTAGTATATAACATGAGGACAAACAGTGAGAATAATCAAAATTGAAGGGGTAACTAATTAATTTTTGAAAATGCAAGATTACATTATGATATAAATAGGGGTAGTAGTAATTCTCCCTAAATAATAACAAGGTTTAAATATGTTTTTAATCCTTACAAATTTAGTACTTTTCATTTTAAATCCTTGCAAAATTATTCTTCTATTTTTCATCCCCCAAATCTGTGTTAAATTTCTTTTTTAATCTATCACTAATGATAACAACATTTGTTTGATAATGAAACAATTCCGATCAATAAATTTCCTCTAATTCTTTGTCATGTTTTTCAGAAAGTATTTAATTCTACTGTTTTAGAATGATTTTAATACACATTTTCAAATGCGAATACTTAGTCTTGTATTGTTTTAACTCTCGAATTAGCCTAAAAACTTATAAATGTTAAATTGAAATTTTCTAGTAGATTTATGAAAAATTGACAATTTGTTTCTTGTGAGTAGTTCCGTAAGTAAAGGTGGAATAAAAATAAAATAGCGCAAATTATAGGATGGCAAACAAATAAATTATTTTACATGTACTTTAAGGGTGTTATATTTGCATGGATTAAAACCATATTAAAATCTAATAACAATAATAAATCTATATCAAACATAACATACAGGACGGAAAAGTCTAGTGACTACGCATAGTATGCAAATTACACACTACGTATGACATACACAGAACGAATAGGAGCATAAGGGGGACCCGGTCAATAGTCCAAAACCGGTCCAGAACTGGACCCACTATTGTAAGGTACTGAGCCAGATCCAGTTTTCCAGTCCTGGGGTCAACAGCAAGTACCCGACCGGGTCCAAAACAGGCACTAGATCACCCGGGTACCTGGAATTGGCCGAGACTCGTAATATAACAATTCAGGCCCAGGCTTCATCATAGTCATGGACCTGGGCCGGGCCAGTTCCGGTTCCGGGCCCGGCCAGGCTATTTTTTTGGGAAGGAAGGCCCGGGACCGGCCCGGGTAGCCACCGCCCACCGGGTCCGGTCCGGGTCCGGGCCTCCGATTTGGTCATTTTTTCTTTCTTTCCCAACCCCCCCCCCAAACCCCCTCTAACCATCAAGCCCAACCCGGGTAACCCCAAAAAATGAAAAAAAAAAAAAAAAATCAATTCGGCCCGACCCGGCCGGTTCGCCAAATACAAGGCTCGAGCCCGGACCCGCCCCCACCGGGCCTAGGCCTGCCCCGGACCCAGAACCGGGCCGGTTCCGGTTCCGCACAGTAGCGGGCCGGGCCAGTCCCGGGCCGGGCGGCCCAAACCAGGTCCATGACTACTACATCAAATATTTTCAAGGACTGGGCGGTCTCAGCCCAGAACCAGGATCGACATGGGTCCAACCCCAGGAGCATTGAAACATACTTGATCGGATGAGTGCTAAAATTATCTTAACATACTTCTTTTCGATAGCAGTTGTTACTTCTCACGCAAACTAATTCAAGCATTATCTAT